CCCCCACGCCAAAACCATTCCGGTTTTGGGCCCCGAAACTCGGCCCTTTGGTACTACCGGCCCAGACAGTCTTCAGCCTGGGCCTGGGTGAAAGGAGCCTTCGCACGTACATCTCACAGAGAGTTAAAGGCTGTCTCTTATACACATCTAGATGTGTATAAGAGACAGCTTAAAGCCTGGCGCACAAACCGTTTTCTGTTTGGTAAGGGTCAGATCCCACTACCCTGGATTAGTCATTTGTCACCCTCGATTACGAAGATCAACGGTCAGAACTGAACAATAGGGGTTAGTGGGATCTGGCCCTAAGCCAGCCTAGTAGCCTACCAAACAGAAAAGGCTTAATATGCGCCTGGCAAAAGGATGCGCTTTTGTGCCCATGATTTTTTTTGTTTTTGCAAAACTACAAGTCGCCTACCGGAAATCGACATTGGGAGAAAAAAGGAAAAAAAACGGCTCCGTCTGGAAGCAAACCGATGTTCACCGGAATGGCGGAGGAGGTCACGCCCACAATTTTGTGAATTGAGAGATGCAGCCGAAAGATTCGGAAAGAAAAAGAACTGAACACAGTTAAATGTAGTTTTGTGAATTGTGAGATGGAGTCTTGAGGTTGCGGAAACGCCAACTTGAATCACAATCCAATGTGACTGGACTCTGTTCTTTTTTTGTGGGCCGGAACAAACCAATGACTTCGATCAAAGCATTTGCCGGTGGAAAAAAAAAAAGAAAAAAAAGAAAAAAAAAAAGCATTTGCCGGTGACTTGACTCTGTTCTTTTTTGTACGCCGGTGTCTAGCTTTTCGAAATTCCAATGTTGCACGAAGTGTTGATGCGATCAAAGCATTTGGCAATGTCGGCGTCAGGCACATATTTGGCTATAAAGCCTATAATGGCTCTATGTAGCCAGAGCTTACATGGCATCTTGACAAGCACGTCCTGGGCTAAATCCATAACAAGAGAGAGGTTCAAAACGGGCTTAACATCTGTGGCATAGATACGAGATGAATCCAACCGGAATCATGGAAGAGGACGTGAACAAGCACTTGAATCAGTAATAACTTATAAGGCAATAGGCAAAAAAAAAAAAAAAAAAAAAAAAAGGGAATAGGCCGGTCACATGGATTCC